CTGGGGACAAGGCCTGCAGGGACAACACCCAGGGAATGGCTGCCAGTGCCAGAGGGCAGGGCTGAGTGGGATCTGGGCAATGAGGAATTGTTCCCTGGCAGGGTGGGCAGGCCCTGGCACAGGGTGCCCAGAGCAGCTGGGGCTGCCCCTGCATCCCTGGCAGTGCCCAAGGCCAGGCTGGACACTGGGGACAGTGGGAGGTGTCCCTGCCATGGCAGGGGTGGCACTGGGTGGGATTTGGGGTCCCCTCCCAACCCAAAGCTCTTGAAGATGATGAATAAATGACACTGCCTCACTTCATTCTTATTCTGACCAACATTTGTGTTCTGTACCAATCTCACATTTTAGCCCCGTGTCTGACATTCCTTTGTTCTCAACTGACCCCACACTGCCCCACCAGAGATTCAGCTGGGCTTGTGGTGATGGATTTGCAAGAGATTTCATTCACAGGAAGGACGAAGTGTCTGCAGTAGCATAACTTTCTTACTAGTAAAATCAAAACTTTCATACCTCATCTGCTCTGCAAAAGAAAAAAATGGGTCCTAAGGAGTTAAAGGAGTTAAGGAAACCAGCTCTGACCCAGAGTCTGATCTGGAATACTCTGATGCATTCCACTGAGATATTTGTCCTCTTTGTTGTTTAAGGATCAGCCTCTGAACTCCTCTGCTTCTGTATTTTGGGATTTCACTGTCCTGTGAAGGCCCAGGGCATCTCCTTGGAACCCCACACGAACAGTGTGAGCCTGAGGGCGGTCACACCTTCACTGGGAGAGCTTGCTGTACCTGGGAGCCGGGCATGGGCTGATGTTCTGAGCTGTCTGAGCACACAGAGCCCTCTGTTCACACCAGGCACCAGCAGGCAGAGCAGCCCTAGCTCGGGGTGAGCAGGTTCCACACATTAACCCCAGCCTGAGAACACAGCAGAGCATCAGTGAGGCCACATGTCCCATGGCCTGCATGTTTGACATGGGACACACAGAGGGACAGAGGGCTTTGCACATGATGAGAAACCTCCCTCTTGGAGTTTAGCTGTTTATTGCAGCCCCGAGATGTGCAGGGTGTCTCTGTTTCAGCCCGTGCGTCCGAAGAACAAGGCAGAGCTCTTCACTTTTCGCTCTTGAGGTTGTTTATTAATTCTTATCTATGAAATTTTCTTTCTGCCCAGCTGAGGTCTGCTCAGCAGGGCAGCCAGCAGCACTCTGACCGCCCTCAGGGTGGTGTTGTCTTTTTATACTACCAAAAAAAGCAAAATAAAAGCTAGACAAGTTCCCAAGTTCCTCCATCTTGTCCCCCAAACCCCTATTCCAAAAATCCTAAAATCTACATTTTCACCGTGTGATAACTTTATTATTATACTATTTAAACTTCTGTAACTTTCAAATCCTCATACAAAGCTAATAATTTGCTCCACAAGTCATAATCAAACCCTCAAGTGTTCTAAGCTGCGTGCCAGAGTCTCCAAACCCCTCAGCAAGAGCCCCAGCAACTCTAAACACACCAAAAAATGTGCTAACGTCTGACACCTCCCAAAATGCAGCGTCTGAGTCTCCCCAGACCTGCCCTGGGTGTCGCAGGTTTGGGGCTGCCTGTGAACACCAGGGTGCCCTGGCAGGGGCTGATGGCTTGGTGTGGAGCTCAGCTGCTCTGAGGTGAGCTGAGATGCTCTGTCAGTTCAAACAGGGAAACCTCAAACCAAATCCCAGCCCCAAACCCCCGTCCCAGATCCCAAACACTTCGTTCCCTGAGGGGTGGGACCATGGGAGGTGTTTACAGCTTTTTGGGCCATGCAGAGATAAACTCTCACCTTGAGCTGGTCTGTGGCACCAGCCCCAAAGCAGCTCTCCACGAGCAGCACGGGCTCTGAGATCACTCAGCATCACAGCGCCCATGTGCTGTTATAAATTCCCCTGCATCTTTCTCCCGTCCCTTCTGGAAGCAGAATCATCTGATAATGGTTTGCCAGATTGGATTTTGACCAGTTTGATGACATCCCAGTGATTTGTTTTGGAGAAATCACTGCGGAATTGCAGCCTAATGTTGTTACTGCCTCTCCTCACAGCTCTGCCCTCATTTCCTCGCGTTGTTAGTGAGATGCTTGCTGCAATATTTTCCAAAAATCCCATTAAAACAGAGTGATAAAGGAGAATGGACACACTTGGCTTTATGAGAATGAAACTACTTCAATCTGCAGAACATAAAATCTGTTGAGGAGATCAAAACACGAGCTCTTCTAAACCTTTTCAGAATTATATCCCTGGAAGTGTTCCAGGCCAGGCCAGAGAGGCTTTGGAGCAACCTGGTCTGGTGGAAGGTGGTGTCAGGCCCCGTGTCCCTGCTCTGGGCCCTTTGAGGCGCCGCTCTCAGCCTGGCAGGGGTTTGGGCTCTGTTTTCAGCCAGGGACACGCGGGCTGTGCCCCTGAGCCTCTCTGCCCTCTCTGCTCAGTGTGGGCAAGCAGAAGCTGCTGTTTGCAGATGTCTCTGGGCTGTTTGATTTTCCATCCCGTGCGCTGAGAATGGAGTCTGCTCCTGTGCAGCCCCACTCCCTGTGCCCCCCGAGCCCCCGCTGGTTATCTCCCTGATGGACCCAGCCAGCCATTAGCTGTGTCAATGTTTGCCCCTGAAAGAAGAGCTCGTTCACTGGCCAGGAGGGCTGCGGGGCCATGGGATCCCGTGTGTCACTCATGGCACCACAGAATTGGCTGATTCCCCTTGGCTTTACCTGGGACTTGTGCTGATCCCAGTTAATGTCACCATTTCCCTCCTGGAGCTGCTTTACCTGGGGTTTGTGCTGATCCCAGTTAAAGTCACCATTTAAATTATTAATAATTTTAAATTAAATATATCTTTATATATTAAATAAAAATATTAAACTATATTTATTTATTAAAATTTCTTTAATATAGAGAAAAATATATTAAAGAATATTCATAAATTGGTATGTGATGTCGCTGCTAGCACAAACCTTTCTATGACTTTGATCAAGTAAAAAAGCAGGTTTTAACATGAGCTGAGAGTGGAATTATGGAACCCATCACTGCTGGATGTGGTGGGATCCCAAAGGATGTGCAAAAGGATCAGACAAGTCCACAGGTGAGAGATTTTTTGTTTCCTATGAACCGCAGTGGCTGAGGTGCTGCTCCGCTCAGGAAACCTCTGAATTGATTGCCAGATGCTGGGACAGGTGCCAAGGGAATGATAATCTGAAAATGACCTTCCCAAATGGCCATTAACAGCCACTCTTGGTGGCAGCATGGCAGGATGGAGGGTTCTTTGGTTTACTCAATGGAATTGAATTCCAGGCTGGTTTGGCTGCACAGGAACCTCCAAGCCCATCCATTTCAGCCCCTCCACGGGCAGGAGCACCTTTCACTAGGGCAGGGTGCTCCAGCCTGGCCTGGAACCCTCCCAGGGATGGGGCACAGCTGGCTTTAACCACCCTATTGCACGGTGTGAGACTGTTTGATCTTACCCCACGTGCTCCAAATCCTGCACTTCCTCTGGCCCACACCGAGCTCCCCACGGGGATGTCTCCCTGCTGTGCTCCCACCCAGCCTCTCTGGTGGTTTTCTGCTGAACTCCCTTTCCCAGGGGTACTGCTGAGTGTGGGGAGGGTGTGAGCAGCTTCCAGCAGTTTTCCCATCTTTAGGAAAGCAACAGGAGCTTTCCCAGGAGCCAGCTGGGATGGGCACAGCTCCCTTGGCACCGCAGCGGGTGCTGGAAGTGTTTGTGCTTTGAGGCTGGGCCAGTGCCCATAAACTGAGCCTGCAGGGCAGAGTTCAGCGGGTCAGGGCTGGGAGGAGTGTGGGAAGGGATGTGAGGAGGGAGGGAAAAGGGCTGGAGGCTTGGTCAGGGAATCCCACAGAATCCCAAATCCCTGGGGCTGGCACAGCCCTGCCAGCCCATGCAGTGCCAGCTGTGCCCACCTTGTGCCCAGCGCAGAGCACTCAGTGCCACCTCCAGGGCACACCTGCAGGGATGGGCACTGCAAAGCTCCCTGGGCAGCCCCTGCCAAGGCCTGAGCTCCCTTTCCATGGGCAAATTGCTGCTGCTGTCCCAGCTGAGCCTGCCCTGGCCCAGCCTGAGGCTGATGCTCTTGTCCTGTCCTCCCATGTGAAAACCTTTACAAGACCCCATCCCTGGAGGTGCCCAAGGGAGGCCTGGCCCTGGCACTCGGTGCCCTGGGCTGGGCACAAGGTGGGGTTTGGGCACAGGTTGGACTCCGTGGTCCTGGACACTGCTCCAGTCTCAGTGATCCCAGGATTCTGTGAATTTCCTGGTGTCCATGGAGGGCAGTGCCCCAGCACAGAGGTGGCATTTAGGGCCAGAGGCTGCATTTTCTACCGACACCTCACATGAGACAAACCCATTTACTCTCCCTGGCCTGGTTCAGGCACAGAAACTCTGGTTAAATTCAGTTTCCACCCCGCAGCTGAGAGGGCAAAGATAAACTTATTGCCGCCAGACATCTTGACACGGATGGCTCCTGTTTCACCCCAGGGGACACCTGGGGCTGTGTTTGCCTTCGTGACATCCAGTTTGTTTTTATTGTGCAATAGATTCTGATTTTAATTAAGCATTTGGTGTCTCACCGGTCAAGGGGAGACAGCCAGAACTTCCCCTCTGTCATTCCCTGGGAGCGATGCTGCAAGCACTCCTCTTGCAAAATTTATGACTTCCACCACAGATTTACCCTCCCAATAAAAATTATGTGCATTGCCAGCGCTGTGGCTGCAGCAGTGGCAGCCATAAATCACCGGGAGCCATAAACATGTCACCAGCAAACTATCAGGAGAAAATCCTGCCTGCTGGGCGAGCAGCATAAATGGAAATGCTCATTTGCTGCACACACTCCTCCCGCTGCTTGCGCACGGGAGCGCGGCTCGGGCTCGGCTGAGTGGGCAGGGGCGGCGTTAAAAGGGCTGCCCTGGGGACAGGGACACGGACAGGGACAGGGACAGGGACAGAGGCAGGGACAGGGACAGGGGCAGGGGCAAACGGACACGGACATGGACACGGACATGGGCACAGGATCTCCCTCTGCTCCTCGACACAACTGAGCCTGCACTGGCCCCAAAGACCCGACACCTCTGGTAAGTGCAGGCACCTCCCTGAGCCCTTGGGTGGGACAGTGACACAGNCCAGGCAGGCAGAGGTTTCATGGTTCTCCATGGTTCTCCTGGCTCCCACAGGCAGAGTAAAGTGTCCCAAAGTCACAGAACAGAATCACAGAACCACCAGGGTTGGAAAAGCTCTCCCAGACCTGTGACTCATCGCCCACCTTGTCACTCACACCAGAGCACTGACAGTCACGTCCAGCTGTAAATATTTCACTCTCCAAATGGCAGAGCTGTAGTTCTGTTATCTCAAACCACCTTTTGGCCAGTCTGGAGCACGATGGAGCTGAAGCAACAACAGTCAGTGTTTGCCTGGGAGGGATGAAGCTGCAAAGGCACCAGGACAGGATCCCAGCCCTGGACTGTCCTGGTTTGCCTGGCACTGAGCACTTCACCAGCCCAGACCAGACTCTCTGTTCTGCTCCACATGTGCTGTAGCTGGAGAGAAAAAAACTGAGAGAAAAAAATGATGCGGAAACAGCTCCATAAACCAGCAGCAAGAGGGCAGGGAGGATTCCTGAGGGGAGGATTCCCAGGCCACTGCCTGCTCTGCGCTGTGCTCATTATCTCACTGTGTCCCAGGGTCCCTGCCCAGGGTGAGACACCAACAACCAGGAGCTCAGCCTGGGGAGCAGCTCCCACTGGCACTGGGAAGGGGAGAGCTCTGCTCAAATACCTCTGACCTAAACTGGAGCTTGCAGGAGAAATGAACAGAAGAGAAAAACAGCCAGGAGGGGAGAGCTTTGCTGTGGAGAGGCCTGGCGTGCAGCATCCTCACACGGGACTCTGAAATTGAGAATTCTGAGAAGATTCTGAGTCTGCTCCCATTCTGAAAACTTCCAGAGTTCATCCTTGGATGGCTGTGTTTCCTGGCTGCTGCTGTTCTGCAGGACAGCTCTGAAACAAAAACCCTGAGGAACCTCGGCCACAGTAAGGAAATGTTTGTGGGGGAGTTGGAGGGCAAAGTGTGGGGCATTTATCAGCACATCTGTCAGCACAGCTGGAGAGCAGGGTGGAGGGGCAATGAAAGAGGGAGCAGGCCCTGGCACAGGGTGCCCAGAGCAGCTGGGGCTGCCCCTGCATCCCTGGCAGTGCCCAAGGCCAGGCTGGNACAGGAGCTGTGTGTGGCACCGTTCCCAGCCAGCTCAGGGATCCCTGCAGAGGCTGGTGGGCCGCTGGAGGGATGTGCAGCTCCTCTGCTCAGCACAGAGTCCAGCACTGTGGGGTTTGTGTCGTTGGTTTGTTTTAGGTCTAGGCCATGTGAGAGCTGAGCTGGGATGGAGCATGACTCACACACCCCCTGGGAATTCAATGGCTCCTTCCATCAGCCTTCAGCTTTCCTCATGATGGGCATCCCGGGCCTGGAGGCCCTCCACCCCTGGATCTCCATCCCCTTCTGTGCCCTGTACCTCTCTGCTCTGCTGGGGAACTGCGTGATCCTGTTCATCATCAGGAGGACCCCGCGCCTGCACGAGCCCATGTACTATTTCCTGTGCATGCTGGCCCTCACGGACCTGGGGCTGGCCCTGTGCACCCTGCCCACCACGCTGGGCCTCTTCTGGTTCGGCGCGCGCCGCATCGGCTTCGACGCCTGCCTCGCGCAGATGTACTTCATCCACATCCTGTCCTTCATCGAGTCCTCCGTGCTGCTGGCCATGGCCTTCGACCGCTTCATGGCCATCTCGCACCCGCTGCGGCACGCAGCCATCCTCACCAGGAGCACCGTGCTCAAGATAGGCCTGGCCATCGTGCTCAGGGGCGTGCTCTCGCTGCTGCCCATCCCCTTCCTGCTCCGGAGGCTGACCTACTGCGGCAGGACCGAGCTGTCCCACTCCTTCTGCTTCCACCCCGACATCATGAACCTGGCCTGCGCCGACATCAAGGTCAACGTCTTCTACGGCATGATCGTCCTCCTGTCCACCGTGGGCACGGACTTCATCTTCATCGTGCTCTCCTACATCCTCATCATCAGGACCGTGCTCAGCCTCACCACCAGGGAGGAGTGCCTGAAGGCCCTGAACACCTGCGTGTCCCACATCTGTGCTGTGCTCGTGTTCTTCATCCCCATGATCGGGCTGTCCATGATCCATCGCTTCGGGAAGAACGTCCCTCCCCTGGTGAACACCTTGGTGGCCTACACCTACCTCGTCATCCCCCCTGCCCTCAACCCCGTCATCTACAGCATCAAATCCACCCACATCCGGGAGGCCCTGCTCAGGGCCCTGTGCAGGAAGCGGGGCTCTCACTGGTAGCTTCCTCCTCCAGAGGTTCTGCCAGGAGGTGCTGATGGACTGGGCTGTGTGTCAGAGCTCTGGGACTGGGCTGTCTGTCTGTCAGACCCCTAGGATGGGCTGTCTGTCAGCTCTCTGGGACTGGTTTCTCTGTCAGACCCTGGGGCTGGTTCCTTGCTCAGAGCTCTTGGCCTGGTTTCCCACCCAGAGCTGGTGGATTGCTCTCTTGGTGCTCCATCCATGCAGGTCGCTGCCAGAGGAAAGAGCTGCAGATCGCCTGGGGGGCTGTCCCCCAGCCCAGAGCTGTGAGCTTTCATGTTGAGTCCTGGCATGGTGCTTTCCTCCCTTCCTGCACAGAGCATTGCTGGGGGCCCAGAGCACTCTCAGCCCCTCTGAAAAACATGCTCAGCCATCACCCATGTGTTCAGAGTGCCGTGCCCATCCCCAGTGAGAAAACAGCTGCTTGTGCATCTCTTTTGGAAGCCTTTGAGTCTTACCAGCATGCCAAGTCTAATTAATGTCCCATTCATTGTTCTGCATTGAGTGTCATGTATGTGCAGCATCTGCAATAAAATCCATCTATTCCTTGTGAAAGGTCATAAGATTTGAGGGAGCCTTTTTTGTGTTCTGTATGATGCAGAAAGATGAGGTTGGAGCTGCCTAAACTCTTCAGGGTGTGCTGCAGATGAGTGGGACTGGATGAGCCAGATGTGTGTCTCGATGGGCTTGGGGGTTTGCGGGGGCTTGAAGCTCTCCTGCAAACAAAGAGAAGAGTTCAAACACATGGTAGGAATGGCTAAACTTCCTGACAGTCAGGCCCACATGGTGCTGCTGCCTTCCCTCTGAGCTCTGCTGGTGTTGGCTGTGCCCCTCAGGGATGGGAGGAGATCCCCAGGGCACCCAAAGGTGGGAGATACAGCATGCCCAGCATCTCCTTGCTCTGCTGCAGGCTGGGTCTGACCAGGCAGGCAGAAGTTTCATGGTTCCTCATGGTTCTCCTGGCTCCCACAGAGGAGCTGGGTNGAAGAAGAAGAAGAAGAAGAAGAAGAAGAAGAAGAAGAAGAAGAAGAAGAAGAAGAAGAAGAAGAAGAAGAAGAAGAAGAAGAAGAAGGAGAAGAAGAAGAAGAAAGACTGGACACGCCCAAGTCCCTCCATCTTGTCCCCAAAACCCCTATTCTAAAAAACCCCAAAATCTACTTTTTCATCTAGTGATAATTTTATTATTACACAACCTAAACTTCTGTGGCTTTCAGGTCTTCATACAAAGCTGGTAATTTTCTCCACGGGTCATAATCAAACCCACAGGTGTTCTGTGTGCCAGGGTCTCTGAGCCCCCTGGCAGGGGTCCCAGCAACTCTGGACACCCAGAGGGATGTCCTGAGTTCTGACAGACGTGCAGGATTTTGCTCGTTTATTCCCTTCCCCCTGGCAGGAAGGCTGTGGAAAGAGCAGGGCTTGGCTGTGAATACCCCTAAAAATCCACCTTGCACAGGGAACCATCTCCTGAGCTGAGAGCAGCAGGGTCTGAGAGGCCGGTTCTCTGTGCTGCTGCAAATTGTGGAATCCCAGGCTGGGTCAGGCAGGGAGGGGCATTACAGACCATCCTGTTCCACCCTGCCACAGGCAGGGACCTTCCACTGGCCCAGGCTGCTCCAAGCTGGCACTGAACACTTGCAGGGACGGGGCAGCCACAGGTTCCCTGGGAACCCAGGGCCAGTGCCAACAAATTTTGCATTTGTTTGCAGTGTTGATTTCCTAAATAGGAAGTGTCAGGGTTAATCTTTCACAATTTTCACACCTTTTGATATCCACTTGGCATAAAAAAGCAGCCTTGGCTTAGCAGATTGGTCGTGCTTGGGATGAGCATGGAAAAGGCATTTGCTCACTCCACAGAGCATCTCAAACCCTGGAATTTGGGGATGACTCTGAAACGGTGGAATTGTTTCCTTTTCATTCTAAAGCATTTCAAGTATTTNGCCTGTCGCACTCCTTCTGCCTGCACCAGGACGTGATGAACCTGGCCTGCGCCAACACCACCCCCAGCGTGGTGTACGGGCTCACCGCCATCCTGCTGGTCATGGGGCTGGACGCCGTGCTCATCTGCCTCTCCTACCTGCTCATCCTCAGGGCCGTGCTGCGCCTGGCGGCCTGGAGGGAGCGGCTCAAGGTGTTCGGCACCTGCGTCGCCCACATCTGCGTGGTGCTGGCCTTCTATGTGCCCCTGATTGGGCTCTCCGTGGTGCACAGGTTCGGCAAGGACCTGGCGCCGCTGGTCCACATCATCATGGGCAACGTCTACATCCTGGTGCCCGCTGTGCTCAACCCCATCATCTACGGGGTGAGGAGCAAGCAGATCCAGAGGACGATCCTGAGCTTGATCCGCGTCACCAACAGAGCTCCCCGGTGACCCGAGCCCAGCCGCTGCCCTGTGTCCCCACCCTGGCTCACCGGGTTTTACATCAGAGCCTTTGGTGCCAGACGGTCCTCTCCGTGTGCTCTGAGGGGCGGCCACCAGGCTTGTAAACTCCTCCCAAGAGTGTTGGCCCTCACCAGACTCAGAGAGAAATTACTGCAATGATCTAAACCCAATCCCAGTCTCACCAAACTCACAGAGAAATTACTGCAATGATTAAATCTAATCCCTATCACACCAAACTCAGAGACAAATGACTGCAATGATCTAAACCAAATCCCAACCTCACCAAACTCAGAGTAATGACTGCAGTGATTTAAATCCAATCCCACTCTAACCAAACTCAGAGAGAAATGACTGCAATGATTTAAATCCAATCCCACCCTCACCAAACTCAGAGAGAAATGGCTGCAATGATCTAAACCTAATTCCAATCTCACCAAACTCAGAGAAATTACTGCAATGATCTAAACCCGATCCCAACCTCACCAAACTCACAGAGAAATGATTGCAATGATCAAAAGCAATCCCAGTCTCACCAAACTCAGAGAGAAATGGTTGCAATGATCTAAACCTAATTCCAATCTCACCAAACTCGGAGAAATTACTGCAATGATCTAAACCCAATCCCACTCTCACCAAACTCACAGAGAAATGGCTGCAATGATTAAATCCAATCCCTATCACACCAAACTGAGAGAAATGACTGCAATGTTCTAAAGCAATCCCAGTCTCACCAAACTCACAGAGAAATTACTGCAATGATCTAAACCAAATCCCAGTCTCACCACACTCAGAGAGAAATGGCTGCGATGATCTAAACCCAGTCCCACTCTCACCAAACTCACAGAGAAATGACTGCAACGATCTGAACCCAATCCCAACCTCACCAAACTCACAGAGAAATGATTGCAATGATCTAAACCCAATCCCAATCTCAGCANGGTTCTTCAGTGAGGTGGGGATTGGTCAAAGGTGTGACTCAATGACCCTGGATTTCCAACCTCAGTGATTCTGTGGGTTACTGCTGGGGGTGCTGCTTGGGTCCCCCTAGGAAAATAAATCTGCATTTCCTGGTGTTTCAAAGGCATGGATGCAGCCTCCATCTCTGCAGAATTCCAGGCCCCCACAGCACCTGCTCTGCCCACCAGCAATCCCAAATCCTGAGCCACTCATGAAAACCTGACTCATTTATCAGTGCCAGAGAATTAGAGACGAGCTGCAGCAACAGGGGTTGTTTCAGTGCCTGTCCCACAGCCCCACTCCCTCAGGGAAATGATCAGGAGGGCAGGATTTCCCAGTGGGACTCAGGTAACTCCATCAGGGCTGGCAGCTGAGGTGCCTCAGTACCTGCTGGTGATTTCTGGGGCTCCTTGTTCATTCTGTTTGTGTCTGAATCCAAGTGCTTGGCTGACAGCGCCATCCCTGGAATAGATTTTGGGCACGGTGACAGCAGCAGTCCTCCCACACTGAGTGTAAATCGGGTATAAAAAGCTACAATGTGAGTGCTCCTTGTTATACATCCGAGATGGAAAAGCCCCACACCAGGAGAATAAAGCCCGGTGCTATTTCAGTTCTTCAGCACAGATGTGCAGTAAAAACCCCATGTTTCACAGCCCAACATTACTTATAGAATTACTCCATTAATAACCTGCAGGGCTTGCCATAGAGCCACTTTGCATGGTTGATTTGCACAGATTGGGCACAAAGGAACAACCAGAAAGCTCAGGTTGAGCCTGACCTTGTGCTGCCCATCCAGGGCAGGAGGGATGGTGGGTTTATTCCAGGTACTAGCTTGCTGCCTGAAAATAGAAAGGCACCTAAAGCAAAGCTTTTTCTGTATCTTCAGGCCATCATCCTTGGATCACAGCACTCCTGGAAAACCTACAAATACAGAATAAGGTAAATAGTCTGATTATTTTCTTCTCCAGATATTCTGGTTTTTCCATACATGTTTTTCATAGGATGAAAATCCGATTTGTATGTGCAAAAACATTTGAAAGATCCCTGTCTTCCTGTGCCTGTGAGCTGCTCTGGGGAGGGCTGGGTCGTGGGAGGCAGCACTGCCAGCTCCAGCCTCACTGAGCACATTTCTGACAGGCCACCACAGAACATATGGAAAAAATCAGGCAGCACTGAAGTATTGCAGAAAGCACTGAAAATCTGCCGGGGTTTTTTGTTATAATTTTTAATTTTGTCCTTTAAAAAGAAAAGCAAACAAGTTCAGCTGATGGGTTTATAATTGAAAAGGTTGATTTTACGGTGTTCTGCCTTTTAGAGAATTCAGGCAATTCCTGAACTCAAATGTCAGCATTTTGTCAGCGCATATGTTGCTGCTCAGAGCCATAACGGGGTAAAAAACCCGGAGAGGAGCTGCTCCATCAGCGCGGCAGCTCCGAGCATCCCCGGCATGGCCCTGTGGGATCGCGAGCCATGGGAAAGGGCTCGTAAACCGTCCCCTTTGTGTTTCCCCCGCAGCAGGAGGCGCCGGGCCTGGCATGAGCGTC